ACGTGAATGGGAACTTCTTTACCCGCCACAGTGAGCCTCTGATGCAGAGCTGGAGAGTGGGTTCTCCATGCTCTCCAGTCGCCTCCACATCTGCGGGTGTGGACTGTTTCCGGGCCTCACCCGTGCTGTCGTACTCTGGTCTTCCCTCGATGGCTCCGTGGCGGACCCCCACCCTGCCAGCTGCCCTCATGTCTGTCCCTCATGGCCCTCCATGGACAGGCTTTCCCAAAGGCACAGGTGGCTTGTGTTGGCCATGCCTGTCCCTCAGGAGTGCCCGTTGTTCAATGTCAAGAGACTCCAAGACAGATGTGTCCAAAGTGTCTGACGGTCTCATTCCCGTATTTGCCGTTAGCGAGACGCTCCCGGGGGAGGCAGCAGAATGCATTGGGGTTCCCGTGTGCCCACGCCGGTTCTCACGATGGCAGCCAGCTTCTTCCCTCATTCCGTCCTGCCCCGGTCATCATGTCATCTGTTGGCTTACCTGCTGAGGGCCATGCAAGGTGCCAGGTGCTGGGCAGACAAGAGATGAGGGAGATGTCGTTGCCCGTTCAGAGAGCGAGGGACATGGCAAGACACATGGAGGGAGTCCACAGACAGCGGATGTGTAGTGAGGGCTGGTGAGCAGGACAGACACACCGACCACATCCGCTGCGATTCGGGAAGGCCTGTGGAGTGGGCATGGTGGGACAGCCAGGAACGGTGGGAGGGGGGGTTCCACAGACAGAAGCAAAGAGCAGCAGGCAAGGCACTTAGCATCCCGCGGGCACCCACTTTGTGCTGGGGTTCACGCTTCTCCTCCCACTGACGTGCTGTTTCCACAGCAGAGGGCTAGTCAGAGGGAGTGTTCTGTGTTCTGACAAGCAGCCCTCCGTCGGGGGAGCTGGGATTGCTGGAAATCCTGCCTGAGTTTGAAGCAGATGCTGTTAGCTCGAGCCCTGACGTGAGTCCTCGTTCATGCTACTGCTGTCATGCGGGGTCCCAGCCCCGAAGAAGGCTCACCTGTGATGCATTTGCTCGGGGCTTTACCGTTCAGGGTCTGGGCTACCTTGGACGGGATAGGTGGGAGTGAGCCTGGGGATCAAGAGGACGAGGGGTGGGTCCACACTGAGTGAGCACTGAGAAGATGCTGGTACCCCCAGGCGGCGTCCGGTGTCTGTCTGGGTCTAAGAAGGGAATGGGGGCATCGGTGTAGGGTGCCTGGCCCAGGACAGGGGAGCAGATGGCGTGCTGCTGGAGGTGTATCCTGGAAGCAGGGAGGTCACCATGGGCTGGGGGTGGGTTTTCAGACATAAGTAGATGGCATCCACGTTCTTGGAGGGGCACGCCTGGGGTCCCGTGGGCGTGAGTCCCCCGTGGTGTGAAAACAGAGTGTTCCTGAAGCGGTTCTTGAAGGACTTGAAGGTGGCTGTGTAGCAGGAAACCCTGCCAGACTGAAAACCCACAACGTCTGTGTGTGCCTTACGTGACCGACACACGGGATCCTCCAAGCGTCCAAAGTCCGTTTTTCCAGCACTAGCACCTCAACGGCGTTCAGCACGGGAAGTCTCGGTCTGAGTGATGAATGACGAGCCCGTGTCCCAAAGCCATTGACATCTAATTGTCTCTACTCGCTAGGAAATTTTAGCGGCCGGGAGTGTCTTAAGACCTGTGACAGGGACGGGATTTAAGAGCACAGGGAATCCACTGGGTCGGTCGCTTAGACAGAAGCTTCATGTTCCCAGACCACTCTCAGGGGTCTTTCCTGGACACCTGGCTCTGTGTATCGAGGGGTTTTCACCCTCAAGGCGGTGTCACAGGGCAGGGACAGTTACCATCCACAGCTTGTGGAAGCGGAGAGAGCGCTTCCCAGGGAGCCGCGTCTGAACCCAGAACAGGGGCAGTCTCCCCCGGGTGCTGGTCGCTGCTGCGGACCTACAGGGACCCTAATGTCAGTGACACGCACTTTGAAAGGTGCGTTGGCGTCCATTACGCACCACGGAGTATCTTCTGAATGACGGTGAGCGAGGTGCCTCTCAGTTCCCCTCCGTTCTGGCTGTAAAGTGGAACAGTGGGTCATTGCAGCTCTGTTCTAAATGAGTTGGACATCCCGTTGGGGTAGACATGCTTATCTGTTGCAGAGGCGGGGAGAACAATCTTTCTTCAGAGTAGACTGGACTTCTAACAATAGAAAAAAATGTATTTCTTCTTAAAAATCCCAATGTTTTCATAGTATATGGAGAAATGTAGGAAGGAATACATTATCAACATAATTTGGGGAGATAGGACAAAATATGGGTATTGGCAACGTAAGGGGACACCAGAGCCTACCGGCTTTATCACATGCCTGGGATGTCGCGGTTTCCTTGGAAACGAGAGCTCTGAAAATGCTGATTCCCAGGTTCCCAGGGAAGGAGGAGTGGAACAGGGTCCATGTCCTGTGAGCCTACAGGCCATAAAATATATTTCCATTGCTCTGAGTGGAGCAAATCCAAACTGGTCCAAGAAGTAGCAGAGAGAATAAGGCATGTTTTTTGCGAAAATGCTTACAGTTCACACGAGACAACAAAAAGGTGCATATCCCACAGAGCACACCAAAGCAGCCAAGAGTCAGAAACACGGGTGCTTCCTTCTGCCCTTGCCCGAGCTGCCTAGCAATCCTCCCGCTTCTCCTGGGTGCGGCCGTCCGGATTTCCCCGCCCAGCCTTTACGTCAGGGCCGTGGCTCACACGCCGGCAAGCTGGGGCGGAGGCTGTCGTGACGGGAATCTGTGTGCGTGGCTTTCAAAGGCAAGTGGGACGTGCGGGCCCCTTGAAATGAATTTCTTCCCGAAGCCTGGTTTCTCCGGGGGCTTTTAAACACACGGAGGCTTGACTCGCATGTCAGGTTGGGAACACCACCGGGGCCGATCAGCAGCAACGGGGACAGGAGCTGAAGGGACTTCCCATAGGCTTCTGTCTGTGGCAGCCTTGGCCCTTGCTGGCCCCAACCAGGGATGGGCTCTCCGTGCGGCAGCGTGTGTCGCCGGAAAGAGTTCTAAGGGAAGTCGGTCGTACTTGGGAGGACACGGGGAAAGGAGGAGTTGATGGAGAGAAGGTTCAGGAAGGCCACATGGGTTTTAAAAGTCTGCTGGAGAGGGTAGCCGTGCTCGAGGCACTGTGTCTGCAGGCCGGTGTGCGGACCGCCTGGGAGGTGGTGCAGGTGTGACGTCCAGCCTGTCCCAGCATCCCCGAGGCCGAGCCTGCGGACACCCGGAGACGGATTCCCCGTAACGTGTTCATGCATGGCGCAGGCACACGGCGTGCCCTGTGCTTCCCGCGGGTCCCATCTGTCCCCGCCGAACCACGGAGAGGCTCACATGCCGTTGCCTGGGTCTGTCCGAGAGCAGGGCTTGCTGGGGGATGAAGCAGACACCCACGACAGTGTGTTTAGCGCATCCCCTCGGTTTATTTCCTACTGGCAATGGCCGTCCGCCGAGCGGGCCCCCTTATATATGCAGAGTACAGAAATGCGCTAGCAGGTGTGTCTGGGGTGCCGCACCGTGGGAACGACTTTGGGGGTGTTCGGAAAAGCCCTGCGAGGAAGATGCAAAGGGGGGCATTCTCGTTTGGCACCTGCTTGCACCCATCAGGGGCTGCTCATTCTGTTGCTGTCGGCCACGTTCTCCACACGCAGGAAGCTGTTTGCAGAGCCCCGTGAGAGGCTGTTTGATGAACGCTCAGGTCCTCCCAAACGCCTAACATTCTGGAGTCAACCGGAAATCCGTCATTTCCTAACTGTTGTTGGTAAGGCAGGCTGCTCTTTAAAAAGGAAATGGAGTCTGTGGGAGGTATAAGGGAACACGGACTTGGTTTTCAAAGAGCTTAATTTTTAGGGATGCCTGGGTGGCTCCCTTGGCTAAGCATCCAGCTCCCGATTTCTGCTCGGTCTGGAATTCACTGAGGCTCAGGAGTTCAAACCCCACATCGGGGTTTAAAAAAACAAAAACCAAACATAAAACTTAATTTTTGAACAATATAACCATCCTACTGTGGGGTCAGTGAATTCTCCTCATTTGGCATTTTTAGCAGCTTTCCTAAAAAACAAGTTGCCCTAAAATTCCAGTTCTACGGTTTTTAGCAAAGTACGGAGCTCTGCACACGCAGTGCCAGTCTGGGAGGAGAACATTTCCTTTTTCCTCCTCCTCCCCGTTGGCCGTCCGCCCCCGTCCTCACTCAGAGGCCCCCTGAGTCCTAGACTGGCTGCTTTTAGGCTCTGTCAGGGCAGAGAAAGTAAAATGTTCCCTGGGGTCTTAGCAAGAGTAAGACTGAGTCTGAGTCTGAGCAGGGGCGTGTGTCTGCGTGGGCGTGTGTCCGTGTGTGCGTGCACTTCTCGCGTCTCTCGTGCACGTCAGCCACGAGCCTCCCTCTTCCGGAAGGTCCTGTCCGTTTTCCACAGAAGCAGAGGCCGTAGGTTGAGAGGGTCGGGGAGCAGACGGAGGTCGAGCTGCGAGCTTATCGTCTGTTTGTCCGTCTGTGTGTGTCGGTCGAGTGTCTGGTCTGCAGCTCCACGCTGTCAAGTCTGCGACCCCGGAACGCCGATGCGGGCTGAGCTCCCCGTGCAAACACCGCATGGGCTTTTGTCTCCTCTCGCCTGCACAGCATCACTTAGGACCTTGGGGGTCGGGGAAGAGGAGGAGGAGGGAGACACAGGCGGGAAGGCAAAGACAGAGAAGGGTCTTCTCCATGAGAAGAAGACGCCTTGGCGAGCGTGCGTGAGTGTGCCTGGTCGACGCTGTCATTCTGCCGCTGCTACCGCCCGCCCCGTCCTTGCTGCTTGCGGCTACTGCATGCTCCTGCGTGGTTTGTCCGAGCTGTGGCTCTTCTTCTGAGCGGTCGGGACGAGCCCTCCGTCCGTCCGTCCGTCGCTCTGCTGACTGAGGCTTTGCTTTCCGGGAGGAAGCCCCCGGCCGGCTTCCTTCCCCTCTGCGGGGACGCTCAGGACGCCTCCCGGCCCGCGCCAACCTGTGTCCTTGTGCACCGCAGGCACGTCCGTCTGGAAGGCCTTCTTCTTCACGCCCAAGTTCAGCCCCGAGGGCGCCAACGGCTGCTTCTCCACGCACGTGTGTTTCTGCCACGGCCACTTTGTGACCCCGCACCACCCGCCGTTGCTCTTCGACCTGTCCAGGGACCCCGGGGAGAGAAACCCGCTGTCGCCGGCCGCGGAGCCCCGCTTCCAGGAGATCGTCGACGCCATGCGGCAGGCCGCGGAGCGCCACACTGAGACCCTGCAGGAGGTCCCCAACCAGCTGTCCCTGGGCAACGTCATGTGGAAGCCGTGGCTGCAGATGTGCTGCTCGGCCTCCGGGCTATCCTGCCAATGTGACCGGGAGACGGCAGCCCGGAGGGCGAGCCTCTAGGTGCCCATCAAGGGGACGCGACAGAGGCTCGGGGCCTGCCCCGCCTCCTGCCTTGTGCACGCTCACGGGGGTGGCCCAGCGGAGAGCCGGCCCTGTCGGCACCTCACACTGGGAACCTCTCTCCATCTCACCACCCAACAGCTCCATCGAAAGCCCACTCGTTAACCCGGGGGGGGGGGCATCAAAGTCTACGGTACCTGCAGGGAAACATGCCAGAGCTGGGGCTTCCGTGGCCAAAATTCTGAGTCCTGTACGCGTGGGAGGGCTAGGCATGTAGGAAGGAGCAGAAGGAATTACTGATTCCTCTGCAAATGCCGGACTCTTGGCGTAAGGGGCCATGATCCCTTGATGCCAGGAGGGGCCTGGGCCGCCATGCTTCCCCCGGCCCGCTGCTATAAAGGAGCATAGCATTTAAAAAGCCGCTACAAAATCTTAATACATGGAACTTAGAATGACTAAGGAGCCTTTTTCTTCACCAGTCATGGATGCCGCGCATTACAGATTGGTTTGGAAGGCCGTCGCCATCAGTGTTACGTAGAGCCCATAGGAGAAACTATCCGGGATCGATGTATCTACAGACACACAGTTTATGTCTTTCCTCGGGAAGTCAGAGATATGTAAACCATAAAACTAGAAGCTTCACGCTATGTAGGTAAAAGGGAGAGAGGCTCACAGATACACTTTCTTCGGGCAGCACACTTTTTTTGGTGAAATCCTTCGGGAACCAGAATCTCCAAACAGTGTGTCCTGAGCGGATTTCCGTTGCGTCCCTCATAGTGTTATATCTGGGTTTTACTGTTTCTTTGGCAAATGGACTGTGTCAAAGAAAGGCTACCTCGGGGACACGGTCGCACGAGGAATCCCTCCCGGTGTGCTGCGGAATCACTGGCCTGGGAAGTGGACTGCTGGGCGGGGAGGACTCGTAAACACTTTGTGACCCACGCACAATATCGGGATAGCTTTAGTTCTTGCAGAATTTGCTAAGACCGCAATAGCTCGTCTCAGAAGCTTTGTTGGACGCTGGTGTGATGGGGTAAGAAACACGTGTGCCTTTTGTCTTCAGTGAGGTATACAGTTTTCTTCTAATCCTGCTTCTTCCGACATCAGCAGTGCAGGACGGGGCATCGGCTGGCCACGGGCGAGGTGGGTGGGCATGGCTCCGTGGGCGGAAAGTCCTGAGTCAGCCCCCGCAACCCCCATGGAGGAGAGGACACACCTGAGTACAAGACGCTCCTGGCCCTCGATCAGACACCAGACCTCCTCCAACAGGATCACGCGAGCCTTCCCGGTCCATGGAGAGGAGCGGCCGTTCCCGTGCCTTTCCCATTCCTCTCTGTAGTGCACGTGTTTGTTTGCTCCGTCCCGGGAGACGGCAGACAGCTGGACACCTGGACCGCCACCCCCGTGGCCGTGTGGACACAGTGTATGTTCTCAGGTACTCTGACCACAGGCCACATGTCTCTCTACGTGTCCCCCACCCCAGGAGAACTTCCAAGATCCGACAATATTCCTGCAGTCCCTCTTGAGGTCCGAGATTTCACATTTCACACCTTTCTTTGCTTTCTCTTACAATCGACAAGGGATGTCGTTTGCCTCCCCTCCCCGGGAAGGGTTGAAACTTGGCAAGCAAACAGGTGTCTTGCTTTTCGTGGGGATTTCCAGCTCCAGAAATTGCCGGGATTCTGTCCTCTTGCCTGGGTGGTGTTACTATGCCAAAACTATTTAAAACCACTGTGATGGACTTGTGTTTTACGCTGATCGTGTTTATTTAAAGTTAGCGCCCTCAAGGCAAGTGGCTTCTAGACAGCACTTCTGGGGGTGGGGCTGTGTGTTCAGGATTGAGTGAGAGGACCCACTTTGTAGATTCTGTGACTCCGTACGTGTGTAAAGACTTGTTCCATCTGTACAATGTGAGCAGCCAATGAAGGACACATTTACCTCTAGAAATAAAATCAGCTTTGAAGTATTTGCCTCAAGGGACGCCCGGGCGGCTCCGTGGGCTCAGCGTCTGCCTTCAGCTCAGGTCGTGATCCCGGGGTCCTGGGTTCAAGCCTCACGTCGGGGAGCCTGCTCAACGGAGAGCCTGCTTCTCCCTCTGCCCGCCGCTCTCCCCGCTTCTGTGCTGTGTCTTTCTCTCAAAGAAATAAATAAAAATCTTTAAAAAAAAAAATTGTCTCAAAATAACGTAGATGACTGTTAGGAATCAGGGTATTGGAAGATCCGGTGTGTACATGATAAGCGTAATTCCGAGGTTTCAGTCCATTTGCCCTGTGGAAGTTTGGCTTGGAATGCACAGCAGGAAATTGGAGTTCTATTTTCAGCAGACGCCTAGCAAACCTCTTTTATGACCTAGTTTGTATTCCTTTTACGAGGTTGTATGAGCTGCTTGTTTTCAACGCATCTCACGGGTATGACCCCTTGAGGTATATGTCCCAGCCTTACTGGGTTTTGGAGCTTTAAACGAATTCTTTTCAAAGAAAGCCTATCGGGGCGCCTGGGGGGCTCAGTGGGTTAAAGCCTCTGCCATTGGCTCAGGTCATGATCCCAGGGTCCTGGGATCGAGCCCCGCATCGGGCTCCCTGCTCAGCGGGGAGCCTGCTTCTCCCTCTCCCACTCCCCCTGCTTGTGTTCCTTCTCTTGCTGTGTCTCTCTGTGTCAAATAAATAAAATCTTTAAAAAATAAAATAAATAAAAGAAAGCTTCTCTATGTGTAGCATGTCACAGATCTGATGTGCCAAGCAAACAGGGACGTATGGACGGGCCTCATCTCCCAAGGCCTGTAACCATGCCTGAAAAGCTGAGTCCCAGGCAACGGTGGCAGTCAGCTTCCAAGAAAGGAAACACGTCGGATTGCCCTGGAGGACGTACAGCGGAGAGCCCGGAGAAGGTGCAGGGGAAGGACGTGGTCCGTGTCTGGGAGACGCTCTCTGTAATGACACACCTGCTTAAGGTTTCTGAAAACCTCGTTGCAGGGTCCATGCGAACGTAAAAATAAAATTTTCCTTGACAACGAAACGCGCTTTGCTTTCTCGCGGGACTCGACGCAGCAAGTCATGTGGGGGGGTTCGCTGTGTGGCGCGACGGGGCGGGCTGCACGGTTCCGTTGGAGCAGACCTGATCCCTGAGCCGTAGGGAGGGGGGCATAGTGCAGAGCCGGGCAAGAAACAGACGAGCCCCTCCCCTCTGATCAGGTGGGTGCACCGCCTCGGGCCTCTTGGGGGCATGTGGAAAGTTCCCTAATTCCTTTTAAAATCAGAAGGAAGAGGATGGAGCTTGAGGATGGACAATCTCACACACTTGTGTGCCGACACAGTCGTAAGAAAGGAATCTGGGTGTGTTTCCACATGTTTTAGGTTTGCCCACAACACGTCATTATCTTAAAAGGGATGTACTGTGTTCTCCCTCCACGGGCACGTCAGAGTCTCGAGGGGGCCCACGCGTGGGGGACACGCCTCTTGTGCTCATGAGACATTGGCAGCCGGGAAGTCTGCAGAGTCGAAAGGCCAGAAGGGAGAACGTTGATCTGGGCGGTTGGGTACCGGCATGGGATGCCCTTGGAACACCAGAGCCGCGTCAGGATAAAGCACGGCAGTGGGACGAAGGCCGGGCAAGCAGTGAGGGCACAGGGGGCTCAGGTAGGCTCCCCTGTGACCCAGCACTTCCGCACAAATGCCAACACGGGTCCTGCGGGAGAGGCCAGTGTGGGCGATGTGTGGGGACTTGCAGACGCTCCCCGCTGGCTTCAAGCCTCAGTACACACTTGTTAGCCCTCCAAGAATGTGCCGTGTGATGTCAATGCTGGCTTCCTCCAGGACACCTCCAAGGAGCCCGAGTGGGGGACTCTAGGGTCCTGGCCATCCTTGGGGATCCTTGGGGTCCCGGTACCACAAACTTCCGTGCTGCTAACGCCAGTTCCAGCAAACATGGCTGAATACTGTTGGAGCTCACTTTACTGGGCTCCCAATAAAACGACTGTCATAACGTGCCGGTATTTAAGGAATTAAGGAAATTCAGTTCAATTGAGGAAATGCCAGCCCTCCTTCTTCGGGTAGTTACCAGCACCTCGAACGTGACGCACGTGCTCACACAAAGGAGACATCGTTCTCCTAGCAATGTATCTGTTTCCTAAGAAGAAAATAGCATCTTGGAGACCCTTAGATGTTTGCCCTACAGAGGTTCCATGACTTGTGAGGGTCATATGTTCTGAACGGTTTGCAGGGAAGCCCTGTCTAGCGTACGCAGCAAATACACCCCATCCTCCCAGAGGCAGACCGCACAACGCCCGGGTTGGCTTTACCCGGTATGCAACCCTTCAACTTTCGTACCAAAGCCTGGGTTGAAAAATTGGCCTCACGGATCACGTGAGACTCTCAGGTTACAAACCCTATCGTCTACGGCGGTGTTTTCCTAAAGGCAAAATCTGCAGTGGCTGCATTTTTACAACGAAGCACTTTGAGTTGACTATGAAAAGGCGTGTTGTCTTAAATTGAACACAGTGTGCGAGATTAAGTACGTAAGATGCCGTATTTACAAAGACAGGCCGTGTTCCCGTCTCTGTCATTACCTCTGAGACAGAAACGTCCTCCTGGAGCGACGGCACAGTTTTGTGTGGTGGGTACGAGGCAGGGATGTATTTCCATCTTCCCATTTCATCAGGTTGGGACTCTGAGACGCTCAGGCCTGGCCGGAAGGTTCCGTGCACAACCTTGAGGGCACTGAACACAGAACATCTGGATAAGGAGTCCTCAAAGACGTGAGGAAGGAGGGTACCGCGGTGGGGTTACAGGAGCCTGAACCCCTGAGCCTTGTCACCACCCGGGGCAGCCAGGGAGAGCTGCCTGGTCACCGACGGACCGTGAGCTGACCAAGATCCAGTCTTTTCTCTCGGAAGCCGCGGAGATTCGGAAGTTGATGGTATCCCAGCAGGTTGACTAGGAACCTTGGTTCACCGAGTCGTTTGGCCGCACCCGATCAGCCCGACGTGTTGTGATGGCTCTTTGGACGACAAACGATGTGTCTGACTCACAGGTCCTGCTTTCTGTAGGCGCTCTGTGCATTAATCCTTGGGTGACTGTGTTCTTTTATATATTTTTAATTTTAATTTTATGGTTGTCTCAGCACTGAAGCTGGGATCCAGCCTGTTT